AATAATCTTACGCCACCCTTGCACAAAACGACGATAATTTTTCTAATTTCATAGACAACAGAAGACTATATTTTTTCTACATAACCCCCCCTGAATTTAAAGCTGGATCCGCCCCTGTTCTGACGGGTTTTTAAATGAGCTCGTTGCATTCTTCGCGTCCATAAGATAAAACTAATGTAAAATTGACGATTTTTTGAGTGGTTTCATATTTTTTGAAAAAATCGAGCTCACAAAAATCGAAATTTTTCTTGCGTGTTTTTTGAGCTGGTACTTAGAAGCTTCTTAAAAACGCTCAATTTTAACATTACTCGCGACAATTTCCAATGCCACTAATAATAGACGGGGGGCTTAAGCTTAAGCGAGTGCTGAGATATTCAAAGTATTTGGCAGGCTTAACTGGAACGCGTTTTACGATTGTCCGCATAAGCATTAGGTGAATGTCCCACAACAATCACTAAAAATTAAGATGGCAAATCCCATTCACGCAAAACCGACGACGAGCGTTAAAACCAAAACAAAAAAGGCCCTAAAATGGAAAAGTCGTTTTTGGAAAACGAAATAAATCACTCATCTGGGCAATTATTCGGCTTTTTAACGGCGCAAGCCATAAATCGCAAAAAGGCCGCCTGGGCCAAATTAAACGATCTTCATTCATGCTCTTATTTCTCTTTCCTGCGCTTTTACAACTGCTGGTAATGAGACATCTCCGGAAACCATTTATAAGTGAGCTTTTTTCGCGCTGCCTACAAATGTTTCAATTTGCAGCTTTCCGTTTATCTGCTGGTAAACACCTAACAAGTGACTGGATGATACGCTCAGTGATTTAACATTGAACATTATTTGTTGGAAGACATTGTTAGGATAACATACCTGTGCTTTAGAGCAACTGGAGACGACCCCCAAAGCAAGTGGGAGCGAAAAGGGTCGTTTTGCTGGCTTTGGCGAGGTTGGCGCTCTGGTTACACGTAGAAGCAGCACTGAAGATCGGTCTTCAGGCAGGTCACTAGAAATGACAGCAATAACTGGACGGAGTTCCTTTGTTGGAACAATTGCCGATTTTTAAGTTTCTAGGCCGTCGTCCAAGATGTTTCGCCAGCACGCATGGCTAGCACCTTCAGAGGTGTTCCCCACAACATACCTTGAAACACCCGGACCACATTCCTACCAACAACGGCCTTAAAACGTTAAAATCCCCGATTGTTCCATCAGTTCTTCACAAGCGGGTTCAAACCCTCAAACATCTGCTGCGGTCCTATCATGTTAAACCAATTCGAGTGCAATAAAAGTTTATTTACCAAAGCGCACTAAAATGTAGTAACAGTTATTTATCCAAAGTCAACAACTCTTCTATTGACTTTATAGGCGCTCGACATCATTTACACACAAACAAAACAGCCTCCATCGAGCTATTTTAGTGGGATTCAACAATGGCTTGAGGAAAAACGGGTATTCAAAGGACAAAATCAAAAAAATTCCCATGAATTACAGTTTATGGACATCCTGTGGGCTTGACTCAAATATGACAACATTTTAGTTTTAACTAGACACCATGCTTGGTAAAATTTGCTTTGATCAATGAATGCGTTAATTGGCAATGGCACAAGGTAAATCTTCCCAGCTACAAGACATTTAGTTTGAAGACCAAAATAGAAAGTTTCTGAACTGTTTTTGGGTCAGAACTGCTGTTAAAAATAGTGTTTCTCTCGTTGATATATTGCAAACTTCAAGTTAGCTGTTTAAATGCAGTAACGGATCATTCTCACATTGGCTTGCGAAAACGATCCACCAACACCAAAGTGCGACCGCCTACGTTTAAGCGCATTTATTACTTTCTTTTCTCAGTCTAATTTGGGAAGTGGGATGCTGAGGCCAAAATGCAAGCAAATTTTCTTGCTCAAAACCCCCTTAACAAATCTTGCCGCGACGTTGTTAATGAAAAAAGTAATAAACCAGACAAAAACCAAACCAAACTGAGCAATCAAACAGCCGTTATCTGCACTTCTTTCGCTAAAACTGGACCCTACAAGCAAATTAACGGAATTTCATGCTGCATAGCTACGACCTGAACGATTCCATATTAATCCATCTGGCTGACCTTTTAATCCATTTCGAAATGAGCTTGTTCAATCGTCGTTTTTTACCCATGATGGCGATACGCAGAAATAAAAAATAGCACACAAAAACAATCCGAATATCTACGCAAAAAAATCGAATACAACGTCGTCGACTCTGGAATAAACTGAACGTGCCAGACGATGGAGTAGTGGAATTCCCTCACCGCTGGTTATTTTTAGGTTTCCTATAGGCGATGCGCTTTGGAAAGGGGAGTAGATACCAAAACACGAATATTTTAAATAGATAAATGATGCGTTGGAGCTAAGCTTGCAATTGCATTGTGGACTTGCACTATCTATCCACATCTATTACGCAAATCGTACATTGTCTGGGTAGAATTTTTAAAGCCACATAAACCTGATTTATTGCCAGTAGAACAACACGCTTAAAAGAAACACGGAACTAAATAGGACCAGGAAAGATTTATGTAAGCAGAAGATTTTCTTTAATCTCGCGACATGTGAACTAAAACCTATTTTTAACCACACACCAACCATACATCTAAGTGCCTAATAAACAACCATTATTTATTAATACCTAGACTTTAGATACATCAAGGTAGAACGTTGTAATGGTAGGGAAGTATTTTTGGATGCCTTTCGTATTTTTAGAAGCCACTCTTAATGGGGTGTGGAGCGATATAGAGAGGGTTTCATTATTTTACTTAAATACACATACACTGTTGAGGGGATTTTTTCTAGGGTAATGCAGAACACTAAGAGGAATAGAACCAACTTTTAAAGGCATTTGCTGTTTTCTTCTGTACTCAACAACACAGCAATAGTAGAGGAGTCGAATGAGTTTTTTTCGTGCTCGTAAATGTTCCTGTTTCTTTATGCACATTTAAACATGCTGAAGGTATGAGGCCAGTAAGAAGGCGAAACGTGATTAGCCCAATTCCGAAAAAAATCAAATACAGCTGCATGAGCATCGGTTCAATTTTTTCTAAGAGAACGTGAAAGTTGTTTAGAGCAGCTTATATTGGTGCTTCAGTGTGGTGTGCTACACCTTATTCCATATAAGAGATGAGTTTAGGAAAATTTCCAGTCCTCTGGCAAGAAAATCTAAGTCCAAAAGAGCACTGAATTGAACTCTTGAAAACAAACGCTCCTTAATTGCTTTACAAGTAAATAGCAATTCAGTATAAGTGGGTGATTGTTGCAAGCTGCAAAGTTGGAGTAACAGTATCCGACTGGCTTAAGTAGCAAATTCTACTGCACCTGACAGATTTTCAAATGAAACTTGATCGCTCTTGAAATTGCAGCTCAAGACTCAAACGAAAATAAACATGAAAACCTGTAGTGTGGGATAATTTTAGATGAAGAAGATCTAAGAATTTTCAGGAGGCCACTTTACGTAGGCGACTGCTTGAAGATTACGGTGTTTTCCAAGCCAATATAACCGTGTTGGGTAATTAAGGTACCAGTGAAGAGCCACAACGTTAATGAATCAATTTGATGTTGCCATAATCCATCTGTTCTTACTAGTAGCAATAAAAAATTACGTGTAGACATTGGCGGCCTAATTATCGCCGGTCATCACGGAGTTCAATGATTCCTAGTGACTAGACTGAAACGAAATTAGGAAAATGATGGAATAGTCGAGGAAATGGTGTTCTGGGAAGAAACATGCCCACAAACACCCATGTTTGGGAAGCAACAATCGGAAATTTGCTTACCGTTTAATTAACACAACGAACAGCTGGTACTTGGTGGCGCTGCAATTGGGGTTGAATTGCACTAGTTTGGAGCACACGATAAATCACGAACTAATTTAATTAAAAACAGTAGGAATTCAAACTCACATTAAAAGAAAAGTACAGATATATTTCGGGGAAAATTGACACTGACGTGCCCGGGGAATTGGTGGGGGCCCTAGACGCGCATTGGTTAATATTGGAGCCTGATTTGGCAGCGCTGCCCTGTAGGCCCTCTAAATGAGTTTGAACTGTATCAAACCGCAGATAGTTCACAGGAAATTTAATAGAGAAACCCCAAAAAAATTGCAAAACATACCACATTGTTGAAATTGCTTCACTGGAATGTGCTTCAGAAATAAACTAAGAGAAATATTAAGAATTTATTATTCTCGGGCTGCCGTTTGACGTTAGTGGATTTTGCAGATAATTCTAGTTTAATCCAAACATTCACTTCCTAACCGAAATGCAGTCGCACTCCCATGTGAACGAACAATCCAACATACTCGACAAGCTGAACCTAATCGTGCAAGCGCTCGAAGAGGCGCTGAAAATGTTCATCAAACTCACCGAGAAGTTCGAACATTTTCTTGCAGTGATTGGGGCTCTGTCAATGAAAGTTAAAACCGCAAGTGGAGCATTCGATGAGGAACCGGAATGCGCGGCTCCAAATGTCGTAAAGGATGGAATCGAGAGTCCAACAGTGGGCGGCCTGCACGAAATCGCCGGCTTAAGGGGCATCAAGAATCTTCTACACACTTTGGTGATTTTGCCTCGCACGCAACCACAACTGTTTGAAAACCGCTCAAAAACCAACTGCATTCTATTGTATGGGCCACCTGGCACAGGTAAAACACGGCTGGCAAATGCCTTGGCTGCAGAATCAGGAGCTACGTTTCATTCCATGTCTGCTGGGAATTTCATGTCGCCGAATGTTGGAGAAACCGAACGGTAAGATAATCGTTGCAGGAACCCAAAGTTCCACTTTTGGATATACTCGAAGTAGTCACCTTGAATATGAGAAACCGAAACAAAATACGCATACTTTTTAGGAATCTCAGGCAGATCTTTCAGTATTTGCGAGCAAATGACCGCTTCGCTATACTTTTCATTGATGAAATTGACGGGATTGGCCGCAGGCGAACCACTGGAGAACATGACTACTCAAGACGGTAAGCCATTCTCTGACTAGTCTCTTTAAGCGCTTGGTTTCTTAAAAAAAAACCTAAAATTTGAGCAGTTCATATAGCATGATAAAGCGACCTGCCGGAAAAGTTCCAAAATCTTCATATCCGAATCCTCAAACCCGCTCTAACCAACCCTCAAAACCATCTTTTAGTAATGGGATTAAATTATTAAGAGATTCAAACCTCCACCGGGCAAATAGTCATCTGAAAATCAGTAAGACTTTCGATAAAAAATCTCACCTCAAACGTTTGTTACAGCATTAAAACCGAATTAATGGCGCAAATGACGACAGTGGACCGCTGCCCAAATGTGTTGATTATCGCAGCGACAAATTGCCCGTGGGATTTGGACCCAGCCATCCTCAGACGCTTCAACAAGCAAATTTACGTCCCGTTGCCCAACAGCGAGGAAAGGCTCGAGCTATTCCAGCTGCTCACCAGGAACACGGAAATAATTCAAACACCTCAACAACTGCAAGAGCTGATCCAGTTATGCGACGGGTTTTCCGGTTCGGACATTTCGACTCTGGTGCATGCTGCTCTGGAGATTCCGCTGACCGAACTGCAACTCACCACTTTATGGAGTAAAACTGTTGATGGTTTCTATGAACCATTCAAGGGGTTTCGTGAAGCCGAAACCAATGCTCACGAATTCGATACGAATGTAGAAGATGTTTGTGTCAATCAATTGCACAGTTTGCCCGCTTTCTCGGTCAGGGCACGGCCCGTTTCGGTGGCCGACTTTATAGACGCAGCCGAACAGGTTCATAAAACAGTAACCTACGAAGAATTGGCCAAGTATGAAGCGTTTAAACAGCCCAAATAAGTGGCTTGTGTTTATGTTTGAAAACATACTTAAGAATTAAGAAAGCAAATAAATGAAAAGTCTTTCGATATTTATGGCCCAAAGATTCAGTTTTCACCCGCGTGCTTTTTAAGTTTAATGCTTAGCACCAACAAACATTGTTTTGAATTGAGCCCGACGCTTCAACGCAAACCGCATCAGAAAGCCGAAAGTACTCCTTGAATTCCCAGTTCTTTGCGATATAGTGTGTGTTATCGGAAAATTAGCGATAAGGTAACTGCTGTATTTGATTAAAAAATATTACATAACAAGAAAACCAACTAACTTCTACATTGTGCAATGTTGATTAATTAGGCAACAAATTAATCAAACAATGAATGAATATCTAAAAAAATAGAGCCAATGGCATACTTACTCTAGACATGACTTGGCGTCATTTATTGTACAAAAAAACTTATTTCTTCGGCTTAAACATCCGTGGGCTTAAAGTGATCATTGTCGATGGTGGAATATGCGTGCCCTTCATTCACCAGAAACTCCAAAGCCTCGCTGAAATACACATAAATTATTTTATTTGCGATGAAATCCTTGACTCTTTATCAATGTTGCATTATTCAACACATTTTCCTCAATTATATATTATACTTACTTGGCATCTTTCCTTTGATTAGACGGAAAATGGGCTAGAATTGAAGCTCTGTCTGGGCCTGCCTGACCCTGGACACTCTGAAGAAACTTATAGACTTTCAACTGTATACCTGAGAGGTTGTGCTGCCCATTATCCACCACATTTTCATCAAACATGGTCATTGAGTTGGCCAAAGAAGCCCCAGGATTATTTTGCTTGATTTGTTCAGCCTAATGAACATTGAACAACAATGAAACTTTCATACCTACTTTTATGAATCAAGTACAGATGCGCTCAGAGCGAAACTTTATATGTAGATACAGTGTGATACTTACTGTATTTTTACTCATAACTTCTGCTTGAAGCCTGGTGTCGATTACTTCCATCAAATGCGTTAAGATAATGTTGCAGTCGTCGATTGGGAACATCTTCAAGACCATCAACGCCTTTTCGCCCTCTTGGTTGCGGATGGTGCCATACACTTTAACATATCCGCCCTCTTTCACTGCCGGCATCTTGCAAGCTTCATCGCCATTTTCGCCCTCCAGCCAGAAAATCGCTTTGATTGAACCAGTATGATCTTGAATGGTGTAGGAGGCTTTCGTGGACTGCACATCAAACTCTAGCAAGATTCCCACAAGAGACACCTAGAATGGGGACCCTATTAAAGAAAGCGTGTCTTACATTCTAGGTGGGAATGCTTACAATTTGAACAGGCATTCCAAATAGCTTGAAATCGTCTCCACTGTCTCGCAGCATACGAACTACCAATGGGACTACGCTCTGAAGCCGTCTAACTGACTGGAATAAAAGCAGCAAAATATAGCTGTGCTTCTTGACAATAGATCAAGTTACCTTCGGTTCTTTGCCTGATGGGGAGTCGTTGTTTGTGGTGTTGTTGAGAAAGCCCCCAGCATTGGAATCATTGAAGCCCGAGTTGTAACCTAAGGAAATCATATTGTAGGAGCTTATTCCTATGCCAAATCGAGGAGGTAGTCAAACCTGTATTCCACATGATGTTTTTGGTTGTTTTAGAGCTCTCTGTGGAAAGCGATTCGGTTTATCTGTTATTTGCGACCAAAACAATGAATTTCCCGGCAAATTCTTAAAAGTTTACTTCAACCTGACATTAGGGAACTAACCTAACAACCTTACAAATTGTTAGGCTAGTTTTGGACTAAACACTGAATTTTCGCAGGTTTTGCCAAGGAAACTTGTTTAGGCAAAGCGGTTTTGTTTAGGAGAAAGTTAGTGTTTTACAACCCAAGTTCAATAGCACAAATAATTAGAAAAATGCACTTATTTGCCTGGCTAACGGTTTGACAGCCGTCATTAGTAGAACAGACGAAAACAAAACAAACACCACAACACTTAACCAAATTTCTCCTCAAAAATGTTCGGGTGAAAATCAAGCAGCATTACAACCTGAGCTGGAGTTGTGCACTTTACGCCTCTAATATTTGTCGGTTCCCTCAATGTCCACAATTATATATAATGATTAATTTCAATATCAACTTCAATGACTACAAGACCATTTCCTCATTGGGGCAGTGCTTTGAAGGTAGGGCTACAGTGAATTTGGCAAAACATCACCCTTCAAACTCCCTGGTAGCCCTGAAGAAGTTCAACATGGATAAACTGAAGGAAGACAGCTCCTTGGTAGATGTAAGTGTTCAAATTATATGAAACTTTTTCCAGTACGAATTGATGGTTTCAGCTTGAAATCATCATAACGAAACAGCTACAACACCCGCACATACTGCCCTACTTAGCAACATTTGTCCATGGTCCTGAGGTGTGCGTTGTGAGCCCCTTAATGGCTTACGGCTCCTGCAGGGACTTATTGAACAATCACTTCAATGAAGGTACTACTGAAGACAATCCGCCAGAATTGCTGCAATAAACCGCGCGTTAACTTTCAGTTGATTAATTCGCCTTTTAGGTCTGCCAGAGCAAGCGATTGTGATTGTTCTCAGAGACTTATTAGACGCATTAAGTTACGTTCACCGAAAAGGATACATTCACAGGTAATTCTGCAGAAACCAGCTAAAGAGCTTACCAATGCCGCTTTTCTTTTTAAGGGCAATTCGAGCTAGTCACATATTGGTCTCATCTGCAGGCAGGGCTTGTCTAACGGGCTTCAGGTATGCCTGCCCCATTGTGATAAATGGGCGGTGGCAGAAAACAATCCACTCATTTCCCTCCAGTACAAAGGCCAACCTCAATTGGTTGAGCCCAGAACTATTAGAGCAAAACCTCATAGGTACAGACACTTCGATTAAAATGGATTAGTTAAGACATGTGGGTGGTTTTAGGATATAACGAGAAGTCAGATATTTATAGCGTTGGAATGGTGATATGTGAGTTGGGAAACGGGTCCGAGCCATTTGCTGGCATGTCTTCAACGTTAATGTTGACGGAAAAAGTCAGAGGTTGTACACCACAGCTGCTGGATTGCTCAACAATTCCTCGAGACCTGAACGGCGACTGCAGCAGCGGTAATTCAGCTGGTCATCAACGTTTGCCTGTTCAAACCCATTTTTTTCCAGGAGATTGTGATATAAGCCCAAAGATAATTCATAGGAGATTTAGCGAAGATTCACATCAAGTAACAGCACTGTGCTTAAATCGGGAGCCGTATGATCGGCCATCCGCGGTTCAGTTGCTCACACATCCAATTTTCAAAACTATCCGAAAATCCCTGCCTTTAACCGATTTACTTAAGCCAGCGTTGCCTTTGAGTGATAGAGTAGCCCTTAATAGTGGTAAGTACGGCGATGAGGGGGCGATCATTGACTACTTTTAATGCCGATCTTTTCCAGATGACTTGGAGGATATGGATAGCTTGAACAATTTTTCAAACTTGGACATTTTTTCATGTGAATGGGACTTCTAGAATGAAATTTATTTTCGCATTAACACTGACATTTTCGGTTAACAAATAAATAGTATTTAATGTCTAACAACACCACATAGAACATGGCAAGATTGTATTATACAAAGGAAACTAAAACGTTTAGCATTTAGGACAGAAGTAATACTGTAAATTGTATATAGCCGGTGTTTGTTATGTCGATGCATTTCCTTAATTATTCCGAAGTGGCGTAAGGCGGGTTACGTAATGTTAAAAAAATTGGAGAGCATTTCGGCAAGATCCTATAACAAACACCCTGTACATGTGAGAAAATGCGCACATTATCGAGATTGTCAATAATAGAACACCTACAAAACGTTCACGTTAATCATACAACTTAATTCTATCATAACTATTTGTATAGCCATAACATCATGTATAAAGGAATGTTCGCAAGAACAAACTGACCGTGATTTCTAAAAAATAGGTTTAACTGGTTTCACCAGTAAATAAACGGGACTTTATCGTTTAAATGTTAAAAGCAATATTGTTGCAGGCTTTTTGGCCCAAACTAGACCCAAAACCGCCCAGTTTCAAGGGAGTATTCAAATTGTCAGCACTCTCGCAGTCTACAAAACTTACAACTACTTATCCCATCTACTTTATACGATTCCACCTGAAATGTACAGCTAAAAATTGGCAATAGGAGCTTCACTGAAGACGTAGCCTTTTGCAGGATGACATCTTTATCACAGTAATCATCTAAACGCAAGACACACTGTGAAGAGTTCAACTGGAAATATGTAATAAACGGACTTACCAACGGCTAAGTGTGCGGTTACCACATTCCTGCCAGGCGTCAACGACCAAATATTCACATCGTGAACATGCCGCACTCCGGAAATTTGCTTTAATGCTTTGGATAGTTTGTCTCGAGTTACGGGACTTCCTTGCATAAGTAACCCGATCGAGTCCTTGCCAACTCGGGCCGTCGTAAAAATAATAATCACAGAAAAAATGAGGGTGCAGATCGGATCTGCCGCTTGAGCATTGGGGAAAATCTGCGGAAAAATCAAACAGCATTAAACTAAATTGATACTCAATGCTTCTGGGCTCACTTTTATAATCACAGCCGCTAGCAGAACGCCGATACTTTGTACCAAATCGCCTAGCACATGAGCGGAAGCGGCTCTCACATTGATATTGTCTGGATCTTGCAGTTGGGGCCCGTGGCTGTGCCCATGGCAAATCCCATGCAACACTGCTCCCATTCTGGAGCAGGAACAATATAAAGCCTGACTAATATTGGTAGAAGAAGCTTACATGATATTTACGAGTAGCCCGATTGAAGCCACAATAATCATGGTGTTGGCGTCAATGTTGTACTCTTCCAAGTAGAGCCTCTTCAATGCTAAAACCAAGAAAATTCCCACAAGGAACCATATAGTCAGCACACTGAAAATGAATAAAAAATTTGAATAAATTAATTAATTTAACAAAGCTCAAGTTTAATCCTGAAGCAAATCAGCCCAGTGTTATCAACGCAACAGTACATTAATCATTGAGCATCTGCCACATTTATCACACATATTGATACATATTTGCAGAAATTGTAATAAATGTTCCTACCTTAAAAAGGCACCCAAAACTTCCGATCTGTAGTACCCGAAAGTCATGTGTTTAGTTGCGGGCTTCCGCGACAACAATATGGCCAGTAAGGAAATGAGGAACCCAATAAAGTCCGAAAATAAATGCGCCGCATCGGTCATAACGGCTAAACTTCCAGCAAAGTAACCACCAATGAGTTCAGCCAGCTACGAACAATAAATATTATTCTAGCGTAAAATCAGGCAGCTTCCAACTTACCATAAAAATAAAGCAAAATCCCGAAGCTAACAGTAGTTTATTGAAGGCTTTTGGGTCCTCGGTGGAGGACAGGGACTTGTGGCAATGGAACTCCACATCGTCGCTCGGATCCCTGAAATATTCCTAGGGAAATTGAAAATTATTTATTTTACAGTCGGATTCGTGCTTACATCAGAATATATTCGGGCAACATGCTGATGCGAATCAATCAACACATTCGATTGTGTTAATGAGACTCGCTATACAACTCGTAATCGTCCAGCAAACTCGTTTTATCAACATGATATTAACGACATTTGGGAAGATTAAAAATATTAAGTACTCGAGGATGCATGAGCATATTCATCTACAGGGTGAATCGCATTATTTTCTCAGTTTTCACTATATTTTCCAGTTACGCAGTCAGTGAGGTTTGTTTTGGTTGAAGATCGTGTTTGTAGTTGAGAAATGGTGTTTTTCTTTCTGGTAGTTTTTTCAAAATGAGCGTAAACTCGTTCTAAAACACATCATACGTTACTACTTCAAAGGAGGAACAAACGTTTCTACATTGGGAACAAGGGCGGATCCAGGGGGGAAAAAACTACGCAAATCTAAAACTTCTTGAATTCAAGCATTTTTTGAGAAAACTGCCAACAATTCCCCATCCATGGTTCACTTTCTAAAAAGGCCATTTAGTTCTGTCTAGAATGATGTACAAATGAGCGCTCTTGCTCATTTTGCCTCCGAGAAATGAGCAAAATTGCGCCACCCTTGCACAAGACGACGATCATTTTTCTAATTTCATAGATAACAGATTCTGTATTTTTTCTACATAACCCCCCCCTGACTTTAAAGCTGGATTCGCCCCTGATTGGGAACAATCCTCGATTTGCGGGTTTTTCAGCCCGATTTTTGATATCTTCAAAATGTTTTCGTTTCTGATGCTCAGGCTCTGATTCGAATGAATCAAATAATTCCATTCAAGAACGTAGCTGGCAGCAGTTGTCTCACTCGCACCCCTAGAAGTTTATGAGAGATGGAAGATGCTCTAGGCGTTGCTTTGTTCGAACTTGATATCTTCACCGCTCATATTAACTCAGTTTTTTGCCGGAAAACTTTTTGTGGTTCGTTTCGAGAGCTATAGAACAAACCTTTAAAGATGCCAACACGTTTTTTACAGTACATTTTATGATCGAAAATAAATACAATTTCAATGGCGAATGGTTTGAACAATCATCGGTGATTTTCGGCCTAATAACCCGAAAATCACCATTTCTGGGGTGAAAACTTCACTTGGATTTTAGACTCAAGTTTTTCAAGTCAGGACCAAATTCCTATCGACAACAGTTTTAGGGATAAACGATATTTTATTATGAAAAAATATGAACAAGAAGGCATTTGAAAGAGTGCACTGCGGAGATATCATTCGGTGAAAGTTCAGGCATTGAAGCAGAAATACTGTTGCGAAAAAAACCAGGAAGTTTGTTCTTCCTGGGAAACCGCTTAATTGTGAAGTTGTTACGATTGATTAGCAAATTGGCAACTATTTGATATTGGGCCACTAATCTTGAATAAGACTTGCGGTTTTACACCCAAGTCATCCTCGCCTATCTCGCACTGAAATAACTAAAAGAACAATGAAATCTGCTATAAACTGAAAGTATTTAAAATACACGTACAGGTAGACCCATTTAAACAACATTTCATACACGTTTAATTGCGAATTTACGAGGTTTTTTAATTGTTAAACTATAAAATATCCAACAACTCAACATACTTCGCGTGGTTTAAACTGCACAAAAGGATCGTAAATAGTCTTGCGATTCTACGTGTCTTAGACGAACCCAATCTGCTCTTGTAGAATTAATGTAACGAAGCTTTACTTAGGAACTTTAACCGATAGGCCCCAATCCTTCCAACTTAAAATTACCTCGCTAATGATACAATTTACTGTTTTCCTATTGACAATGCTTTAAACTTGTGCGAATATTATAGCGAGCAGATATGTTACTTTCCCAACCTTCTTGGTACAAATTATTGCTTAGTGACTATACAGTTTTCTTATGAAATGAATCGGCAATGGAACGGAATGTTTACTATTTCTGGTCGACATTTTTTATTTTAAATCGAAACATTGACAAGAAAAAGTTGTTTAAGGTAAAACACTGCATATTTCAAATGGGTTTGCTAATTGAAAAACTCTGACTAGGCAACATTTGAATAATATTACCCCACTTTCGGAACTGCAAAGCTTCATTTGAATTTCTCAATATTGCTTAAGCCTTTTATGTTTTAATCAACCAATATCCGAAAGGGTTCGATAAAATGATGCGAAATTAAACTATGATCGTCGCCAATTCATTTAGTTCTTATCTAAATTAGTGGAGATAATTTTATCGAATCCTTAAGTTGTGTACTTACATGTACGAGCAGGGGTGAATCCTCAGAGTTGTCCGCTCTTGGATCATAAACACTTGGGTCTTCCAGAACCAGTTTGGATGAGCTGAAGTCTATTCCAACATGTCCATTTGCATTGTTATTTCCCAAGCATTTCATGCAAGGATGTCCGAGATTCTCATCGTCAAGCAATAGCTGTCGCAGGTCATCTGCATGGTCACAAAACACGTCCATTTTAAACTGGGCCTTCGGTTCAATGTTGAGCGTTTCTTAGAGGTAACATGGTCTCAAATAATGGACGTGTTTTCACTGCCCGGACAACAAACTGACTGTTTAACTGAAAAACACCAATTCTTTATCTCACCTGATAAAGAGGCCATAAATTCATGCAGTGGTTAGGCACATATTGAGCGACCACTGAAATGGATCTTCCAAAACTGCAAAAACTGACGGGAGGTTAAGTCGATTTAATTACCACTTGATTAGGCATTTATTGAATGACCACAGGCTGATTTTTTAATGCCACGACACTTGCTGGAATGGTTTTTATGTAAGCATAATCACCGTAACTATCTTTGAAACTTTGAATGTTTATCCCTCCATTACTGTCACATCGGGACCTCAGCTGTTTCTGTCAGATTGCAAAACAAACGTATTAGTTTGCACCAACATTGCCAGCTTGTGCGGTTTGGCCAAGATCAAGGTAATTTGGCATTCAGTGCAGTACATTCAGGGGCGCTCGTTGTTACTTGGCTTCATCATCAGAGTTAGCTATGGATACCGTTATGGGTTGCAAACTATTTTGATTTGTTGTAAACCCTGAAATATTCAGTTTTGGACGTTCAGACGGACGTTGGGGCTAAATTACCATTATCCAACTCGGGTAGTTACTCTTGCATGATGTAATCGCTGTCATTTAGTGATGCAATGGCTTTTTGGCACTCCCCAAACGTCGAAAACTGGATGACAAGCTTGAGCATTTTATATGCTAACAGGTGAACATTCAAGCCGTTTCTTGCTGCATTTTAAAAATTCCCTCCTGTAATCGTGCGTGGAAGAAGGGAGAAGGAATTGAGCGAATATGAGTGAGTAATTTTGCATATTTTGTTTAAACTGAGTTGACATCAGGAATCTGTTATTTGCGAAGCTTTTGCTGGAAATCTGATATCCCACAATCAATCTATAATGGGAAAATTGCATTCATTTGCGTCCGGAATTCATGTTCCCTTAGGGAGATATACATCTGTGGTGAACAACAAAGCGGAGATTGAGCATCTACTAAGGCCCAACCTATAGAGCACAGTGGACCACCATAAGTGGAATTTAAAAATTTTTGTTATTTTAACTTGATTTTCTGGCTAAGCAATAGGGGAAGTTTCAGCAAAGATAAATTGATACAAAAAACTTAATACTACTATATACTTTATGTTGGCCTTTTTTTGTGGCGCTGCAAAACGTCAAATTACTTGTTGTCGAGTGACAGTTGACTTGTCAGACTTGTTTATTTATTGGAGTTGATGACATTTATGACATAAAACAATACTTACACACTTTTCGATCTGTTTCTATTTCTTTAAGAGCTTGCAAAAGTTGATTAGAACATAACAAAACAAATCACAACCAGATGTAAACATCAATGTCAACCAAATAAGTGTCAAATTACTACTTAACTTGCAGTTGTAATTTTATTGTATATACTTTCCTGACTGTGTTTCAATTCCCAATCAAATTCATTCCTGGGTTTCAGTCATTTATTGTCTCTATTTATCAATCAAAATACGTTTCGGTGTATTTTTCCACCATCATTAGTTTTTATGTGTAGCGTTGTTGCTGCTTTAAGCCTTGGCATGCATTTTCTTGCCCGGCAAAAATATATAAATTTCTTGCCTGGCAAAATTTATAATGTTATAATAATCTTCTTGAGCCTCAATAATTGTTAGAAACATTGAATGCAAAATCCGCAGAAAAAAATTGCAAAGTTCCAACCAACGCTTTTTCAAATAGGGAATTTGGCCCACTGTTTGTGATCTCTTGGGCCTAAAAGAGAGGAATTGCCAGGCCGTCACATTTGCATAATTCGACAGAGAAATTTACTCCCTGACTAATTTATGATATTCGGGGGTGAGTTTATATAAACGCAACGACGTTAAATGTATCATAACGCTTTTGACTTCATCGCATTAAAATTGAAATGAGGGAGTTTCACTTAATGAGCGACAGCTTCAATTACGAACAATAAGAGCCGCTGAATAAAATCGTATATAATTTATTAGTAACAGTTTAGGACATTTTGAATAAATGCGTACACAGAGAATTAGGAAAGTTTTTGGACAAATCTCTAAAGCCTTAGAAAAAAACTCTGCTACTGAGGTAAATAGTGCTTTTGATCCACTCTCTCCCGCAGCAAGTTGTAGGATTATTGTGGATGTATTTCCGGGTGGCTGTTCTGTTGAATGTGATTGATTACTATGGATAAGTGGCCTCCATTTCACTTTGTGATGTAAGCGAAAATTTAAATAAATAATACGTAGTCTGAATTAAGTAAATTGGTTTAGATAAGATCTCGGCTCATTACTACCCAATTTGAATGCGAATAATGACATGCCATCATTGTCCATTCTTAGGGGATTGGACCGTTGGCCGGCTGGTTTGCACCGCCTTCTCCTTCCAAGCCACCAATACCGAATATGGCCAAAAGTTGTAATGTTGGAGCAAATTAATACGCATTTGGCATTCGAATATCCGTCGATACTAATCAACGGTTACTAACGAGTTAATTACGATTTCAGTCGTTTGAGGCGGCCTTTTTCAAAGTCGGGCGCGTTCATTTCATTTCAATTACAAGCTCAGAAATGTGGCTGTAATTCCCATGTCGGTAGGTGGAACCCCATTTGAATGTTAACGAGGCCGAAATCTGTCTAAAAGAACCGCTTCCGTTCGTTTCTGTTGGGCTGCTTTGGCGACAAATAACTCTTTTGCAGGAGTGTTACCAGACGTGTCGGTTCTGATTGTTTTATTGGGCCTTTTGCAGCGATTTATGTGCTTGACAATGGGAAACGTGCACGAAAAATATTATAAACGGCACTATTCAAAGCGGCTCTTTGTGGGAATATTAGACTGTTCAATAATCATGAAAAACTCAACCGTGTTTTCGACAATCACTTAGAACTGATGTTCCAGTTCAATTTGCGGCATTAAGCAGGCCAGAAACTTTCATAAATTCTCCACGAATTACTTTTTCAAAATTTTGACATTTGCATCTAAAGTGCACAGTTCTGGAAATATGCCTAATAAATCAGCCAGAAATGGGAAGTTCCAGAAGAATGATTAATCTGAGGAAAACTGCGCAAGTTTTCTCGCCTCTTTTAAAAGAAACACTAACATTTCTCTTGCTATCACGGCCAAAATCCTTTTGGAAAATCAATCAGTCAATGTAAAGGGCAAGAACTTTGCTTTTTATAGTTTATTTTGACTAGGATTTCTTATTATTGCTGAAGCAATCAATAACGAAACATTTTAATATGCGGATGTAGTTTGACGAATTTGTCAGCAAGTGACTAATAGCGAGTTGATTAATTTGCCAAAAGTTTTCTGATGTTTTTCCTGATGCAACATTCTGCATTTTCTGTTAAAAAATTGAATTTTTAAAACCAATTTAACTTAAATTTGCGTGGTAAATAACCTGCCAACCACTGCGCTACAGAAACTCTCTGTATTTGTCTCAAAATGTTTCAATTTCAAAGGCTTTTTTATGTGAAGAAATTGTGGCATTCAACGTTTTAAGACGGAAGCTTTCATGAATTCCGACGAATCAATTTTTTAAAGTTTTGACTGGATCCAAAGTGCAAAGTTCTAGAAGCGTGCCGAATAAGTCAGCAAAAAAAGTTCATACCAGCTTTAAATGGCAAATTTGAAGAAAAGTATGATGAGTTTGTAATAGTTGCAGTCAACTTTCTTACAGGCAAGGGCGGATTCAGGGGGGGGTCATGGTCATTTTTTTGAGAAAACTGCCAAGATTTCCTTATCGATGGTTCACTTTCTAAAACGGCCATTTATTTCTGTCTAGAATGATGTACAAATGAGCGTTCTTGCTCATTTTGCCTCCGAGATATGAGCAAAAGCGGGACGGAAAACATTAAATTTTGGCATAATCTTACGCCACCCTTGCACAAAACGACGATAATTTTTCTAATTTCATAGACAACAGAAGACTGTATTTTTCTACATAACCTGGTTTAATGTACAAGGTGCAAATCCAAGACCAAAACTACAGGGAGTTTAGATCGGGAAATCAGAGAGGTCAAGCGCCCTGAAGCCAGCAAAAACCATCTGAAAATGTAGTTTTGCATCGCAATCATAATGCCGTTATACTTAAAATGCAGTCTTTTTTTTCTACATAATCCCCCCCCTGAATTTAATGCTGGATCTGCCCCTACTTACAGGGTGATTGTAAATTGTGGTAATTTTTTCTAATGCTGGTATTACACTACGCACGTTTCTCCGATTTATTGGCCAATTATTAGAGGCCACCAGAAATCAGCCTGCAATCTTGGCAATAAATCGCGGACTTAGAGCATGTTGGAAATTATTGCGTTTATTGTGGCAAGTTTAAATTGAGGAAAAACGAATAAAAATCTGCAAAAAAAGTTCCCTTGAGTAATCTACCGCTAAAAATCGTACATGTTTTTCATTAAACTTCAGTAAACCGCACACGGCAGGTAGCGAAGTGGAGGCTCAAAAAGCGTCTTCTTCCACCATAATGAGTTGCAATGGTAGTTGAGAAGTCCGATAAATTACGCTCATAAATAATGGTAATGTCGGAACCGGAGCGACCGCAAGTGCATCATCGAGGAAAATAAGGAGCCGTAATTCATAGAGACAGAACTGCCAGAAAGTTGATGATAAATGGCGGCCCGCCCCCCAAAGGAGATATACTATCTATTATGTGACAAAAACACATGTAATTCTTTACCTCTGGCCTCGGCACGCCCAGATCTGACCACTGGGCATCTGTGCGAGCTTTCATAACAACCCAATGCTCTAAATGGGGTTTTTCGCTCCAACCGTACAACTTGAACTTTAAACAACCGCAAATTTTGATTGAACCCAACCCACTGTGGACGATCGTTTTCAATCAGACATTGAAAGGAAATAACATGCTTAAATTACGTCTGGTTGAAATGTTCCCTAACTTTTCACTGTGGATATTTTGTCGATCGATAATCTGTTAAATCGAGTTAACAAGTGTAAAGTATGCACTTAAATAACCAGTGATGTGTTCATTCTTCATATGTTCTTTCATTCACATATGCAGCTTTCTTGACTAGATTCCGTGACTCAAAACAGGACTAGTAGAGAAAGAGTCTAGTGATACCTTTTTTTTTAATTTTCACGTGAAAAACACATGATTTCACTAGCAGTTAGAAATCCTTACAATGTATCTTTGAGGTAGGTTGCCATCAATTGATTTAAGGGGCCTAAAAGGTGGAGAGAACCCGCTGAGCGAACACCAAAACTTAATAGATGTTGAATGACTCGCCGATTTGTCATTCATTCATTTTACATTTAGTCCCTCCAGTTTTTGTTCTAGATTGGGAAAGTGGAAAACAATAATCCATTACCATTTTAAT